ATTCTTCCATGAAAAATAAACTCAACAAAAAATAAAATATTAGTTACTTTTTCCTCTTAATGACATGCACAGTACGCAATGTCTACTTATTCTGTGATGCTTTTAGCATCTTTTTTATTATTGAATCATATATTGTTCGCTCGTTATAGGTACACATTCTACAGTCGAAAGAACTGCCATAAGAACCGACTGGAATTGAAATTAGATATGAGTTTTTTAACATGCGTTTTTTAACACTTTCCTTCCTAGAGCGATCTCTATTTTTACCTACTTTCTGATAAATTGTTCGCATATTTAGATATAGAACTTTTCCCGAGCGCAGTTGTGTAACCTTTCCTGCATGGCAACATATACTTCGTCGCAAAATTTTAAACACTAATTAGATTTTTCTGATAAAATACATTATTGCAGTTTATACAAAGAATGTTATAATAAGAATAAAGCGCTATAGTCTGGAGAGAAGAGTTAAATTTGGTAAGATTTCTAATAATGGCTTCAAACTAATATGTCCCAAGCATTTAGTTATAAACTCCTATTCCTTCTTGATATATTATCTCAAATATTTAAGAGATATGACGTAGTAGATATAAACGTTAAACAAATATTTGTTTTAATTAGCTGAGATCTTGAAAATCACTCAAGAGTGCTTTTGAAAGAGGTAGTTATCTAGGAACTTAAATAATAATTTAAAAAAACTATTGCATGAATCTTACAGTAATTATGCAAGGATGAAAGAAAAGCATTCATGGAGTAATTCCGTAAGCCGAACATTATAAGTAAATTTTAGAAAGTCATATATTTCGTGTTAACAATATAATAGAAATCATAAGGGAATTTCATTTACGCAAACCATTAGCATCTGGCCAAATACAAATGGTGCCAGAATTCTTTGTGTCGATGCTTCCCATCGTCACAAATTCGTCACAAAGTGAAAAAAATAAATAAATAAAAAATCTACCTGTGTAAAGACACGGTATGAAGTGAGTTTTCTTTTTTATACTGTGAATTAAAACGGTTTTCATGATTTTTAACACCGAGGAATTTGGCATCTAAATGACAGCGAGTACAGATATATAAGTTGACGAAACCAACCTGGAGCATTTCCAGACGGTAACATGTCTGTGGAACTCTCATGGATTTGCTAGAATTGTGGTGAAGTGAGCTTACGACTGCTCTGGTTAAACCGTTAAACAAGAAGTACGTTTGTTAAAGAACAACAGCCTTCCAATATGCAGCACCTTCAAATATTATTGAAATGCTGATGAACAGAGAAGAGATTTGGTATGGCATTGAATCTAATTATAAGCAAACGTTTCCTTTTCCTCAGAAATATGAGCTTTTGAAGTTAAAAACATAATAGAAAGCTAATGCACGCTTACCAGCCGCCGAGCGGTGGAAGCAGCTAAATACTGGTATTTCGGTCCGTAGGCTTGTGTCTATGTTAACTCCTTCACATCCAATCCGCCCGACACGGCCCTACATTGAAACGACCAGAACCGCCCGAAACCGGCCGAGATTGTAATCTTCTTTTCTTCCCTCCCTCTAAGGTATGTAGTACAGGTGCACTTTCCCCAAATGCATTGTATCAGTTTACTGCAGACAGTTTGTCCTAAGAGTTTTTTGTTTTATCTTTTGTTTGATCGTGACATTTCGTTGTTGATTCTTTTGTGGTACAGCGTGCTTTAAACAGTAAAAAACGAGCAGTTTAAAAATTTAAGGATTATATTTTATTTTTAAACATTTATTCGTTCCTATAAAAATAACGGAAATAAACAAAATCTGAGTCATGATCATAAACATAGCCGAAAGGCTGTTGATCTGACCTAGAATAGTTTTATAAGAACGGGGGGTCAAGGCTAATGGAATCTTTGTTAGAAAGTACAAAGGATGTCATTGGAAATCTTCATACCTATTTTCTGCGTTAATGGACGGGGAGGGGAGGAAATTGCTGTAAAACAGGAAAAGTATTTCGGGCGGTTCGGGTATTTTGAGGATACAGCTTAGCGAAGGGTCTGGATTTCAAAAAGTTAACGGGCTGGCTGCATGAGCGCTTTCGTGGTTTTGCTTATGCGTACTGCGGATAAGAACCAGTTTCATTTAAAAAGTCCCCCATGGACATCCATCCCTTTCCGTGTAGTGTCTAATTGCAGAACATATTTTAATGATTAAAAAAGTTTAATGCTGAAATTTAACTATTTTAATTTTTTAAATAAAAAGCGTGAATATTTTACTTTGTAGATAGTTTGCCCAAACTATCTTTTGGTTTCTTCCCCACACATTAATTTATGGAAGCTTAAACATGAGGAAATGTTTAAGCTTCCATAAATTCTATGGTTTACGCAAATGTAGTCAAAACTCTTTTAATGGTCACTCCAATATGGTAGTTATTTTTCATTATTGTGCAACTGCGTAATTTGATGGCATACAAAATTCAAGACCTTTGCTGTCCTATTTCTAGAGAACATATACTAACATGACAAAAGCTTTAAATCTGCTAATGTCTGCTAACGGAAATTTTTATCCAAATTATAATACGTAAAAGCTTTGCCATTTTTTTTTCTTTTTTTACATCTGATGGAGCAGTATTTCATGTGGATATTTCAGTATTTGTTTGCCATCTCTAAATGCATTTGATTTGTACCAGTGGACTTTCAACCAGTACATTGACTTTCAACAGCTATGGCACGGCATCCTGATCCTAATACATTACATTTTTCCGAATTTTTTTTAATATTCTTTAACTGATCACGTCTACCTGAAAATCTTCATCGTTCTCAGCCAAAAATTGTTAAACAGAGATTTGAATAGATAATATTTAAAATGTCTTCACAATATATATACATATATGTATAACTTTATTTATGAACCTAAAGGAGACGGCAATACTAGTTTTCCATACGTTTTTCAACACAGATGCTAACCGATAGTTATTCTTGAACCTATATCAACTTACAATCATTTTAAATACATTAAGCATAATATACGATTTACGTAACATTAAATAGGGAAACCGTTTAGATATAAATTACTATTCATTGGCACTTGCTACAGCAGCTTCTAATTCTAACTATTTGTCACATAAATTACAATAAACTGCTGTTGTAAAGAATTAGATCTCCAAGATGTTGCAAACCGGCTATTTGAGGCAGAAAGTAAGAAATCAAAAGTAAAAAGAAGGAAAAAAGTCACCAAACGAACCGGAATAGGAAAGGATATTTCAAAGTTGGCGATTACTCTGTCACATAAAAGAGAAAGAAATAAAATCAGGAGCCATTTTGGGTAAGAAAGAAAAGAAAATTTCCTCAGCCTTGCCTTCCTAGAAGCACTGAAAGAAATGGTGCGAGAAATCTATACCAACACTTTCTAGTTGTTACTGCACTAGAATAAAAAGGATACCAGTTGTTATATACCTAAGACGTAGGAAAGGAAAGAAAGACTCTAGACTGAAAAAGAGTTTTCAGTTTTTTCACCATATTTTCTTTCTTTCTTTCTTTCTTTTTTTTTTTTTTTTTTTTTAATTTCATCGTAGCCTTAGATAGGCTTTCTATGGATATGTCAGAAATCCCGTTTGCAGCGAAAAGCCAGAAAACCAGGCTATTCATAAATTAGATACTACAGTTTCTGCAGAAAAGAGAATCGATTGCCTGTAAAATTTCTTGTATTCCTTCTATTTCACGAAATTGGATGATTTTTCCTGATTTTAAATAACTCAGTTTTCTAACAAAAAAGAAGTGAAGCATAGATAGATAACAATGGGCTGACAGATAACATGTTTCATGAAGCTTTCCCTTTCTTCGGTAAAATCTCTAACCAATATTCATCACAGAGGAAATCTGTGTATACCAGCCAAAAGCCAGAATAAAAAGGTAATTGACTCGGTTTATCTGATAGAAAAAAAAAATTAATGCCGTTATTAAAAATTAAACAGACCTCTCCCAATATTAAACTTACCATAGGTTTTGAAGATTAGAAAGAAAATGAAAGTGCGCATTTAAAACTGCAATAAATTTTTCGTCGAAAATAGCAGAAATGTCAAAGTATATAATGAACGTGTAAAGTCATAAAGATTTTTAGAGCTAGGTAACCGAAGAAATCCGCAGTTCCCTCACCGTGATTCGAATACCAAACCTTCTTAATGTTAGCTGAGAATGCTTTTCAGTCACATCTCGAAGGGAGAAAATGCTTTACATTCTCCCCCACTAAAAAGGCAACTTGGGAGGGGGCAACCAGTTGTCAAATCCTGAGGTGACGAATCATAATCAACCCCATTTTAGTTTGGGCACCGCTTTACAGTCATTAGCTTTGTCGAAGACAGAAAACCGAAGAAATCCGTGATACTCTTTCCGGGATTAGAACACCGGATCTAATTATAGTTAGCCATACGTGCTTTCGCGTTACACCTAGAAGAAATGCAATAAGCAGGGAGAAATTACCGTACAAGCATTTGCAAGGAAAAATGTAATATTTAGGTTATGTTGAGTACTTCTAAACAGTGTGATATTAAATACTTTATATAGTCTGTTAATGTGTTTTGGCCATTACAAAGAAAGAGATAGAAGGAGGAAAATAGAAGAAATGCATATAAATCGCAGAAATCAATTTTGCAAGCTTTCCAACGAAACGTTGCTAAAAAAAGTAATACTCTTTGTGTACAAGATAATTTATATCCAGGTATTCTTTCAAAACTGTCATAGATTATTGACTGTGCATGCAAGGGGATTCAAAAATATCTGGCAAAAATGAAAGAGCAGGTAGGGGGCACCGAAATAAGCATATTTATTTAATGGATTTCGTACACGCGGAAATGGAACATTTTTGACATGTTACACGTTACAACTGAATGGTAAGTAAAAGCCTTATTTGCGTGTAAATCATCATTTCTTATGCCAGCTGTGTGGATCGAGCAGTATGCATTACTACACGAGTGCGGAGTTTCTGACGTGCATTTTATGATAGGACTCAGGATAGAAATGGAACAGCTGCTCAGAGGTGGTATTTGGAAATCTTTCTTTGCATGTACTTTAAGTAATTATTATGTTTTAGCCTCAGTCCGACACATAAAATGCATATCGGCGAGCTTAGCGTTCCTGTAGCAATGCATACCACTCGCTGTTCTTACGATGAATAACAATTTACGCCAGCGCAATAATTTTGTCCACAGCTCAACAGCTTCCTGTACTATTTTCATCTTTGAATCATCCTTGAATGGGAGATAAAATTCTGACTTCATCTTGCAGTCGCTCGTCCAGTCCCATTTTAATTTGTTCATTTTCCCTTTTTTTATCCAAGTAAAGTAAGTAACATGCTTTTAGTAAATCTTTTTAAATTGCGTTATTTCAGTTCATTCGATGAATTTTATATAACGCTTGTGATACAGCAGAGGATGCAACAGGTGACAGAGGAGCCATGACCGAGCATGGGAGGACCGAGTGGACTGCACCAGGGGTTCCTAACACCCCTGAAGTGCCCGGATCAGAGGTTGTGGGGCCTGAGGGAAAGCCGCAAGAACGTGCGGACTGGGACGTAATATTCTGTAGCCAGGGTAACCCTATGGATAGGACGTAGCAGTAGACCGGGAGGTGTCATGGTTGGGTACGGGGCACCTAATTTCTAGACAGGCTGTAGAGCAGGGCTCCCACGATACCTTGGGGAGCCCTCTGTAAAAGGCCCATTCCAGGCCGGTGTCGTACGTAAGATGCCCGTTGAGGCGGCCTGATAAGGACGGGGTGCGGACAAGCGTGTGGGAGAATATACATGCCCAGCTGCCACCCTGACACGCCCGAGTTGCCATTAGCCCACCCCCACTCAAGAAAGACGGCCTAGCAGGCATTTTGGTGGGAAAAAGAGCGAGGGGAGATGAGGAGGGGGAAGCTGGTACCCCCTCCAGTCCCGCCCTGGAATTCCCACTCGAGTGTGTTGAGAACAATGCGGACGTAACTGGATCCTGTTATGAAGGGCCGGAACCGGTTTCCCAAACCCCCAAAAGGGTCTCTGGAAGGTCTGGTTTATGGGACCCCGCCTCCCCCCGGCCCTCGCCTTAAAGGCGCCGTGGTCCCGCCGGTGGATACCGCGGCCTCCTTGAGAAAACCGCGCCAAGGCTCCCTCTTGCACTAGACCCACGAGACATGGTGAGCAGGACCTGCGCTATGCGCCGGATCCCAAGATAATGGACCCACCCGTATCCACGAGGACCCGCCTTAAAAAAAGAGGTAGAATGAAGAGGGAGGCAGGCACATGGCCGTGGGGCGAGCGAACATCTGACTGGCCTTGGAGAAGGAAGGGAAGAACGCTGGGATCCCGGGGCCTGGCCCAGCCTAGGAAAAAGGGAGGCACCCCACCTAAGGCCCGGTGGATTGGCGACCTCACGGGTAAGCATTGAAACTCCACCAGGGTAAGTGGTTGCTCCCGGGTAGGACCCTGCGACTAGGTAGGCTCGAGCGCGAATACAAAAGGGTTCGAGCAAGAAAAGTACTGGGTGCGTAGGGACATCACGAAACCGTCCGCTACTATTAAAGAGGGTGAGGTCGAATGGCTACCCTGAACAGGGAAGGAAGTGAAAGTGTGTACAAATCTAGACCAGGGGTATCGACTATCTATCATGCTACTATGTCGAAAGGTGCAGTAGATGCCTGGAGGAAGCCTTAGAGGCGCGGTCTAGCATGGGCAGATGAAAAACGACACTTTCCTAATGGGAAACAATGTCTTTATCTAGTAATAATATTAAATTTTTGGAAACCCAATGTTTTTAATTAGTCGGTAAAGAAAAATGATAGAGATAGGAAAATACAAAAACGCACATAAATGAAACTGTTTTTTCACTAATAGTCTTACGCAATAATTTTTTCGCTCATTTTCAGTCTGCGACGTTATCCCCCCCTATCCCACTATCCTAGCGAAAATTCGCGGTAGAAGGGTTCAGAGGCACGAAGCCAACTGGTGCCCACCCTTCTCCGTCAGCACACCTCCAGTCAAAACAAGGAGCGAGGACAAGGGAACGAACGAGGTAAAACGAGAGAGGGAAGGGCGGGGGACCAGAACAGGAATAGGAGACAGAACAAAAGAAATACAAGATCGGCCCCGGGCGAGCTCGAGTTACTAAGGTCCTGCAAGCACCTTTCTTTCCTTTCATTTCCTCCGGCTTCTTTTTTTAAATCTCATTTCGGTGTCTATGAAATTATGTAAAATAATCGCCTGTTTCATTAAGTTTCTCTTTATGTAATCCATGAAGTGAAAAGAAGCTTGCACAGGAGTAATAATTCGGGGAAAAATAGTTATTAAGTTAAATATCGGCTAAGAAATAAGTACCATAATAAGAAAAAACACAGACATAATGCGAAGCTGTTAGATAGTTTGAGATTAAGAACTGAAAACAAAAGTAAACGCATCCATGCTGATTTGTCTGGAAGACGAAGATTGCAAAACAGATGAGCGATTAATGCCTTTTAAAACCCCTTTAACATTTAAAAAAGTGAATCAAAATTTGAAAAAATTGTAAAAAATTCATTTTAAGATTCAAGTAAGCAAATAAATTTAAATATATCTTAAACTGTGGACAACGCATACATTTGTATGACCAAACCGAGAACATATTTACCATACTTGGATTAATGATATGTGTCACTCAGAGCGCCAGACAAATTACCTACAAATTGGAATTTATTGAACACTGACTTATTGAAAATATTTTATTAGACAAAAAAAAAAAAAAAAAAAAAAAACTTTTGAATTTGCCAGCACGAATTTCAAAATCAGGAATTTGTGAAAAAAGGATTCTTAATTTTAATATTTGAATAGATTTGTTTTATTGATGTGCATCCATAAATATCTAAATTTGCTATTTAATGAGACATATATTTGCTAATTACGCATTTTTGCATTTTATCTACTTTTTAACTGCGTAAACTTTCTAATTAATGTGGTGTATACGTTCTTACTCTGCAGCTTCCCAGGTATTAGGCTTTTTAGTACTTTAAGATTACACACACACACATACATATATATGACATAATAAAAGCAAAGACGAAACACTGTAGATGCGTGATTAGACCCATACTGAAGAAGATTTTGATTGCGTATTATGCTAGTAATGCTAACTTGGTAATAGTTAAAGAACTTGGCAGTCGAGGCAGTTTTAATTCCACAATCACTTGGCACCTAGTCGTGCCTTCAGAAGGTTACCGTTGATATTGTTGAGATAAAATAAACCGCGAATTTACAATCTTAGCACAGTTCGAGAGCAAAGCTGAAGTGCGTAGTTATTCAAGATGGAAGCACCGAAGATAAAAGTTTTGGTTCTAATTTGGCATTTCAGTTCCCATTTTACGTCATCACAGCTGCGCGGGCTATATAGTGATCTAGAAATGACGCAATGCAGAGAAGTTTTACGATTTTAGAATAAGAGGAACAATGTTTATGTTTAAACTAATAATTTTGATTCATATATTTTATCTTACAATTATATATATTATATATATATGTGAAATTAAAGGAACAAATGTGTTATGTTTATAAATTTTACATGATTATTATTTTGGGTAGAGATAGATTTTGAAACTTCAAGAAAATCTAACGCATAAATCTAACGCAGAGATGCAAGAACGCATAAATCTAACGCAGAGAATGAGCGTATTAAAGCCTGAATAACTAAATTATAAATTAATGACGTAAGGTAACTGTTTTTGACATATATTTTACACACAAAATTAGCGCCATAGCAACATCTGACACGCATTAAATACACCTGTTGTACATGCAGTCTAATCCATTCTTGGGAGCTATTAGTGTTGCGTTATGAATTATTTCCCTACATTTAGATAATATTTCATAATGCAGGCACTTCTCGTTTTGCGTTAGCCTTACGTTACGGCAAACCCACCGTAATTCTGAAAACATGGCAAATTGCAAACACATCTGAGACAATCAACTAACCAAGTCTCACGGCCTAGTTTAACTTAAACATCCAGCTCAGAATGTTAGACTCTTTACACGATTAAGACATTATTTTACAATAGTGCATATAATACATATAATGCAAAGACTACGTTTTAATGACGTGTTTAATATATTATTTGATAAGTATTGCTGCGAAAGTAAAAGAAGATAAATAAAAAAAATCTGTAAGGTTTCAGATTATAAATGGCATCCAAAGGGGCGTTTTTTTAGCGTTTTGTGTGTTACCTTTATTTATTAAATATCATGTTCTTTGAACTTAAACCATAAAAATCAGTTCAACAGCAATGTCGCAAAATACTTTTAAAATGAGCATATCTTTAGAATTTCTGATACACAGTTCCGTGCGCTGGACATAAAAAGGTCGCCCCCCCCGCGCAGAGTCTTGCCATTGCTCGCTTTGAAATTCTTGATTCTGTTAATCGAAAATTCGTTAAAGTTTTACAAAATATGAGATCGATAATAAAACAAATTCCAAATTTCAAATTTGGTCTTCCACATGCCCATATTCGTAGCAGGATTACGTCATTCAAAATTCGATAGCTCTATGTAGCTTTGTTTTATATACCAATGCGAGAAATATACTTACATTTATGCAGATTTTTCGTTATTTAATTTCTTCAAATATAATGCAGGACTCTAACATTTGGTGGCAACAGTTTGAAAAGTGAAACGGAGATTTATAGTGATTCAACGCAAAATCGCAAAACGAAAGGAATAGTCCTTCAGGGACAAAGCCCCTTTGGACTTATAAGCCTCCATAATCATTCCTGATTAGTGATAATATTCAACAACAAATTGAAGTTAATTTTAGGAAGGGGAGGACTTTTAGGACAGGATCTAAATTCTTTCTTTCTTTCTTCGACCATGGTGGAAGGTACTTTAGGCTAAACATTTCTAATTATGGATTTCCCCAATGCAGGTTCTTCGGGAATATTCGAGTTCGCTGTTTGCAAGCAAGATGATCTTTATCTGATTACTAGCAACTTTATTCGTATCATTTGAATATATCTTACGACACCGTACCGGAGAAGGTTAAATTTCAGCACTGAGCAGAGTTTCAAGGCAGTGTGTATAGATTCCCTACCGTCACAAAATCGAAAGATGGTAATTCTGCTTTTTATTTATTTATATTTTATGTTAAGTTCTTTTATTAAACTGAATATAATTGTAAATATTTTAATGCATGAATTTTATGTTATCTTCATAATTCTAATTTATTCCATGAAAGGTTTGATTTCATATTAATGCGTGCATAATAATTGTTAATTATCTGCTTATATATATATTAAAAATGCGATAACGCAGAAGATAAAAAAGCTGGTGAGGCCCTTTACGTATGGTATTTTATCACACGCACACATGTTAAAAATGTAAATTCAATATAACATATAACACTTATAATGTAATAAATATTGTTTTACTATAATATTTAAATTTTAATATATATATATATATTCATATATATTTGCAAATATTTAAGAGATAGTTTTTGGTGTGTTTCATGTATAACCTGAATAATTAATAGTTTCCTTTAGACATTCTTGAGAAACATATTACAAATCTAAGCCAGATCATGCGGTTTGCAGTAATCGAAGTAAAGCAGTCCTATAAATAAACAAGATGTAACACGTTTGATGGTCAGATGTTTCAGGGCTAATCGAACATGGCGAACGTAACCTTTTTTTTAATACAGCGAATACTGTAAATATGAAATTTGAACTCGAGAAAGCAATAAGCCCGATGAGCAAGAAGAACGAAAAGTAGTTTTGATCTTGGATATTTATAAGAATTGCCTCAAGTTCTTTCACGAGGAATACCTGGGACACATTGTTTACGAAACTCGGATTCACTTTCTTGCAAGACCTGCCAAAATTTGGTAGAATTCTGGCATGCAACCGCCGGAATTTGCGCCTCTGTTGCAGAAGTATGTGACATGCCAGGCATCATCCAACGTGTATGCCAGTCACTTCATCATGATGGATTTGAGCAATTCTTTAAATATCATGCATAGCTTGTTCAAGTATCCAAATTAAACACATTTTTATTCTTCATTGTCTTCGTATATACTGTGGTTCTGCGTTCTTATTTCACATCCAACCGTTTGTTGTATTACAGACATTTTTAGGTTTACCATATTCATATTAGCCCCTTAAATTGTGATCATCAACCATGTTAAACTTTGTATATTATGTTGTGGTATTGGGCTCTTCTGAAGAAATATTACGAAATATGTAATATATTAAATTTTTGTATTCATTTATTTAGTAAATGCATTTCTTAATTTATTTTTTACTCTATATTTTAATGCGTTAAGTTTTATTTAGTAGTTTGCGGTATAAACTTAAAAGATTAATATTCCTTAAAGGATTTATTCTATAATAGAAGCAAATTTAAATTCATGTTATTTGCTTTTTCTTATAAGGTTGTAGGATTCTCCACTGTGTATTTCTAAGTTACAGTTGAAATTAAAGAATCTTAAGAACTAGTAAGCGAATAATCGCTTGAGTTCGCGAGGTAGAAAACAACAAGTGAGAAGGAGGAAATAACCCTTTATTATTCCAACTAAAATTTAACATAACTTCGTCTTGGAGTTGTACAATAAAGCCGACACTCGGGCTTCAACTTTAGAGACTAAAAAATAAACTAAAATAATCTTAATAAATCTTAAAATAATCTTAACTAAAAAGATATAGCCGAAGCTATCAAAATTCTAACAGAGTTGGCCCCTTAACGCTAAGTGACTGCGAAGCTATCAATGGCCTTAAGTACGGCAGAGCGTAAGAATCACCCACTGCTTGGCGCGTTTTTAAGAATTGCACATATTTGGTATCCATGTACACATCGACCTATTTTCACTTAAAAAAAAAAAAATCCCAGAATTGCACAAACAGGGCATTGTGCATTTATCCATGTACACATCGACTTATTTTGACTTAAAAAGTCAAAGAAAATTGACAAAAATCCAATTCTTCTTACTCTTGTAAATAGCTCCAAACAAACGCCAATCAAATAAGTGGGCGATTCTGCACTTTAGCCTACGAAAGAGTAGCTTAAAAAGGCGGACGCGTGTTAGGAACAATATCTGGTATCTCTCTGTCTAAGACAGTAGAACTTCTTGGTTAAATACCGCTCTTCCTCATTAGCATTCAGACGTTATTCTAAAACTACATTTTGGCTGGAAGTGGGTAAGTTGAATTAAAATGCGATAGGAAAGGAAGTTTAACTCAAAATTTAACTGTTAATAAAATTAACATAATCCTTACAAGGTATTTTCTTCATCCTTTCCGCATGCCTACGTGATGTAACTGGAAAGTACGCTAGACGCGTATTTGGCAGGTTCGTAGTTCGAATCCCGACGAGCGCTAGTGGGTGATAATTCGTCACCACCGTGATTTGGTTATTGCGTCTGCTAATCCCCAGTCGCTTTTTAAAGGGGGAGAACATTCTTCCTCTTTTCCGCGTCCCTTCGTGATGTAAATGGAAACACACTTGACGCGTATTCAGAAGATCCGGAGTTCGAATCCCGGCAACGACAAAGCGGATTTCTTAAGTTTCTTAGCATTAGGTTAACTTAATGTCGACTGATACGCGGTTTTAAAGACAGATATATTGCAAAATCCGTCTTTCAAAATTTGTTCATATGTGTGCAAACATGCATGTGTAATGCTCATGAATAAAGTGATTTTAAAATATCCGGCAAAAATTTAGAGGCGGATCGAGAAGAAAATAAGAAGCAATTTTGCAACAGAATGTATGTGCAGAAATCGCGCGTGTACGTGGTACTGGCCACCGTTCAGACTGGTAACTTAACCGGTTTGCTAGAGTAAATCATCATTCTGCATTGTTATATTTTATAATGCCACCACCATTCTATTCATTAATGTTAAATTAATTGGGATCCTTTCTGATCATACCATTTAAATTATCATACATATATATATTTATTATCATTGGAACACTTTTTAATACATACAGAGAGAGAGATACATATAGAGAAATAGATAGATTTGTATATGAATAAATATAAAAGAAAATAATTCAAAACCTAATCCAATTGCGCGCTGATAGCAGTAATAAGTGGTCGTATTAGTTCAAAATAAATTAAATTAATACATTTAAAATCCATCCCATATTCAATTTGAAACAAACGATATGCCAAAATAAAAAAAAAAAAGTAAATTAAAAAAAAAAAAAAAAACTGAAGCAAAGTGATAAATTGCAGGAAAAGTGCAAAACATGTTAAAACGGAATTAAAAAACAAAAAACTGAATTTACATCTTTCGATGCAACGTCATCAGATTGACAAACCTCCTTAAAATGAAGCAGAGAAAGATGTTAATTACGTTTTTTCTTTCATATTCGGTTTTAACATTTGTGGCACCTTTCGTGAAATTTAGCACTTCTTTTTATTTTGATTTTTTAAATTTTTGCATGGAGTTTATTCCGAATTGAATATGGAATATATTTTAGGTATAATTATTTTGATTTATGTTTCATGTATTTATATATATATAATCTTAACATATATAAACTTATATATATATATACATATATATATATATATATATATATACCACATCGCATATATTGAATAAATGTAACTCGGAATAAACATTTAATTAACTACATCATATAATCATATAATTAGATAAACGAAAAGAGTTATGAGAACAGTAAATATAGAATTTGACTTTTAAAGTCACTTACAATCTGTAATTTCAACTATTTATTTATCCTGATATTTATTATTATATACACTATACTTGTGTAGAATATGCATAACATTAAGATATTTTTAAATACTTATACATTTTAAAGTAAATTTATTAAGCAATTACGGAAATTTAAACATACCTAACTTAAAAATCTCTCACAAACGAATGCGAATTTAAGCTACTTGCTAACATTTATGTTTATATGTTTTCTTACATTTATCATTAATTATTCGGAGCTTGTAAAAATCATGGCTAGCATTCCAATACTTTAAACTGGTCGAATATTTCTAAAACACATTTTATGTTGTTATTATAGAATACATGTCGCGGCATTTAAATATTTTTCAGTATGCTCTTACAAGTAAGTTAAATATTACAAATTAACATTGACAATATTTAAATCGCTATATAATGCTTAATTCTAACTTTGTTTTAAACCAGACTTCTTCTTCTCTATTGAAGTATTATTCTCATAAATGTTTACTTGATTAGACCAAGAGTATCTTGTGTTCGAAAGATAGTGCAGAATCGGGTACATGTTTAATATTACATTAACTGGATTTATTAAACGTCCACTCAGCTAGCTGTCCTTAAATTAAGTGTACATTTCTAGGTAATTTAAAGCTTTTGATTAATGTGATTTAATATTTAAAGCTATCTATTTAGTTTCAAAACTCTGAATTCGTAATATTAAATAAAAAAATTCAAAGCCTCAAATAATATGAGAAACGCATTTTGCTAATAATGCGTGTGGGGCAAGCATCCGTAACGCGGATAAGAAGTTTATTACATTAAATCATAAAAGGTTATTTCTAGGAAAAAAGTTGTCGCTTTACCTATAAGAATCGTTTTCGCAACTATATCGTACATGGAAATATTACTAAAACCACATTCTTTCTTTAGCATTATATTTACTTGATTTTGGAAGTAGGAACAAAATTTACGACGTAAGAAATATTACATTTAAGAGCATTTAAAATACGCAAAATGTAGAAGCAAGAATTTTGACTTGGTCTACTTTCAGGGGTTTGGTAGCTCAATTGAATATCGCTCACCATTGCTGAACTAATTTGATCTACTTACAAATCCTGTAACAAATGATGTGCTTATAAAAGCCCGAGTGAATAAGACGGCAAAGCCTTGATAATTTGTCTTCGACTGCATAGAACTTCCTGAATGTGTAAAATCGGTAAGATTATGTTTTTCTTAGGAAATCCTTTAAGAAATTACAATTATAACAGCAAATATCCTTCCCGTGCTTTGAAAACAGTGAAATCTATTTAGTTAAATTGGTAAAATTAAGTTGACGGCTAAAGCATGGTTGCCAAAGAACTTTAAAGACTTTTTCATGATCTTTTCACTCATTAGCAGGTTTTTGTTTTTCAGTCACTGGTATAAGGCAGAGCATTGTTGGACCTATGGAAATGCCGAATAAAGTGAAGTTAATATATAGGGTAGCATAACATAGTAATACCGTTGAACAATATTTTGACTCTAATATTTTTGTTTATATTTTTTGTAACTGCAGCTTCTGAGTAATATTGCACAAGCTTCAAGCAGATGTAATCTTTTTCTTTATAGGTTTTTTTATTCATTATTTATTCATATTATTATTATCTATGTTTTGTAAAAGTTTAGGTTTCATAGAATGGCAACATACTATGATGTTGTTCTTTTTTAGAGAGTTAAGTGTAGCTTTTGTTTTCATCATTTGAGAGTATGAATAAAATAACTATTTAATTATTGTAGAGTCTTAAATAACTAAAGAGATATAGATAGTTATTTTCGAGTAATAAAATAGTTCTTGAGGTAACAAATTTGGTGAGAATTTTTGAACAACCGTCAACCTTAGCCGTAATATAATGATCCCAAAAATTCGATAAGCTTTACTAAAAATATTTCTGACATCAAGATATTAATGTAATATTTGGATAAACTTCATCAATATTCTCCTGAATTCATTTTAGCTTTGCATTATAATTTCATCAAATACGAATATAACTTACCTTATTTTTTTATTTTGGGGGGTAAACAGTAACATCTATACATACATAAAATAGTATTTTCTATCAGCGTTATTATTTATATTTTAAGATATTTTATTTATTATTATTATATATATTGAAAAACTATCCTAGCAAATACAAACGTTTAATTTGTTAAATATTTAGAAATTCCATTTATAAATGACGCCCCTAGATGTTAGATATATTTCAATCACAACTGCCATATGCGCGTTGTTGTAATAGCAGTTGACATAAACGCTTCTTGCTTCTGGTAATATCAACGGTTACATTACAAAACGGTAAGTTTCGGTAGTGATAAGGAGAAAGAGTTCCATAAACTGATGAGGACCTAGAAAAATTCAAGAACGTGACACAAATCCCAATTTGCTTAATGACAGATGACTACTGAGGATTCAAGAGGTAAGTGTAGCAGCATTCGATAATTTTTAGCCTGCAGCGGCTTGTAACACCAGATCACGTTTGAAGCATTGCTGATCGTCAAGTGATAACGACCAACAGAAAGGATCACTAACGTAATTGCCCCTGGGACGTTTCTTCCTTATCTAAAGAGCTTCCGCACATTAATTTGGTAATTCCGCTCGTCACTGTAAGACATAACGTTTAATGTCTGATATATTTGCCTTTGTACCGTAAAGTAAGCCCGTTTTTTCTGCCACTGCATCGTTAAAGGCGACTTATTGAAAGAAGGGAAAATATAAAAAGAGGAAAACATGAAAGCTACATGAACGTAAATCACTTGTATGTGATGTACTTTGATTTTGATTAACATGGTACTGATTTGCTCCTTTCGAATAATCTGCGAAGTGCAATACGTCTCATTCGTTTTGAAAAATTTCATATAATATTTACTTTGCAGCTTATGTAAATGGCAAGTTCTAATTTCTGTCACAGAAACGGAATTTCAATTGTTTTCATAAATAAAATTCAGCAAAAGTTACTACAAATGAAGACAATGCCTTTTGCAGGTTTCATTGATTGACACTACCTCCATGTGTTTTGCTATAACACTGATTGTGTGTATTATAACATGTGTTGCCCGACTCTGATGGATAACGAAAATTTCACTTTACTTGATATGTGTAAATATAACACTCACATCAACAAAGATTCTAAAAATATAAGAGTTAGCAGATTGCGCTCTTCGGTACATTATAGTAAAAATGATTGATGTAAAGATCTAGCAAAGAAGTTTTCCATTAATGTCTGACAAATGACTTGATTTTATCTTAGGAAACCTGCATCTGTGTAAAACCATTACTAAAGTTTTGTGCTCTTTCTTACTTTCGTCTTTAAATTTTTAATTTCTCGAAAGTTTATTAGCACACATTTAAAACTCCCAGACATTTTCCTTTCCTAGACATAGCCCTGGTTTGTAAATCAGGCCCCAAGACAATCTCGGATGACTGATAATCCTACATATTTAAACAACTTTTGGCCGACTTTTACACCAAAAACTATTCGCTTTCAGTCTTTCAAAAGCAAAGTTATGTGAAAATTTCGTTAAATTTCTAAATAAGAGCGATATTCGCACCTACAAAAAATAAACTTCCTTTTTATCTTACTTCACTTTTTCATACTAAATGATGACAGTCTGATGGTCATCTGATGATCTCACCCTTGCGTCATAACGAGCCTTGAATGTACGGTGGGAACTCAACCTTAAGTAAGTCGTCAGAAAATAATCTTTATAAACGATCCAGAGATCTATCAATCTACTTCTCTTTTGCTCTGGAATTTGGAAGCCCTAAACTATAGTTCTGCAGTTTCGGGAAGTATATATCTGGAAAGCATAGGGAAAGACCGAACGAAACACACTTTGCTTTCTCAGATTTCTTGGCAGAAATTAATTACTTGATTTACACATGATAATCACTTTTATACTTGGGAAGAAAAAATAATGGTAAATATATTTTACATCTAAGGACTTCATTAATGTTCAAGCATTAATGCAGCTTATATGATAATATAACTAAATAGTAGTTATATTTATTTGCTGATATTTTTTCTGCATTTTTATAAATGTCTATACTGTATTTGTATATTTATTAGTTTATTTGGTAAATTGAATATAGAAAATTTACATAACATCTGTGTTTAAACGAACTCATAACTATTTTGCTTGCTTATTTCGAGCATCTTGTTATAGATCTTGTAATTCTGAATCGATTGATTTTTAAATTACGAAGACAAATTAGTTAGAATCTAACCCCTCCTGACGAACCTTGGCGATAATTTGTGTCGCCAAATTAGTAACATTCGGAAATTTTCTTCAACGTAGTAACATTCTAGAAATTTCCGAAAACGAAGTTTCAAAGCATTAGGACTTATTTATCGGAAACGTCTAAGCTAACTGTTCCATCTTACATATTACTGCGATGAAGCCCAGTGCCAGTAATTTATAGAATTAGCTGAACCACTCAGTTAAGAATTAAAAGATTATACTGAATTCTTATTCATTGACTGCTGTAGCACATCCCTGTAACTGCCTCCTCGAAAGCTTGCTTTCCACCTTCTACAATTTGTGTCTGTGAAGTGACAATAGTGGGAAAGCAGGATTTGGACTGTTGAAATGCAGAAAGGACGTCAGCGTCGGTTTGTATATTCAAAGCAAACCAATTTATTGTGTATATAAGATGTAAATAAAAAAATTTGAATTTTAAGTATGAATTTGGTTACCTCTTTTAAGATATAGTTTGACACACATGGATTTCATGCCCTCCCAGTTGAGTTATCGTGTGAAACAAAATATCTGTATGCCGTGATTATTGTTCAAATCAGAGATAGTCAGCCCTATTATAACTTTAGCCCGCATAGTTAGTAATAAAATTTCCTCGCCGCCCACAGGTTTACAGTAACTTAATTTAGCGTAGCTGGAAAGTAATATTTTTGTATGGAGATTTAGCAAAAAATTTATAGTTAAATTTTTCCATTTATTTATCCTTTCAGAATGCATGTAATAGACAGAGAATTTATTAAAAAATAATGAAGCCGTATAAATATAAGAACACATAAGAATAGAGAGCATTGTGCAATTGGAGGTAGGAATAAAAGGAAACGTCTTCCCCCCACTAAATGGCTGAAGCAGTGTTACCGGGCTTTGGTAGCCCAAGCAGGTGGGCGGTACGTTTGTTTACATCCATAACATGTTACAGCGGTTTGGTATTGGGGAAAATTAAGTAAAATTTCTATACAAAGGTATGGTATTGGGTGAAATTGAGTAAAATTTCTAAGAGAGGTACAGAATATTCTGCCAAAATACATTTACTAGAAAATTTGAATCTGATAGCGAATGTATCCCAAAACGTGTTTCAAATCAAAAGTTTGAAACTTGATGGCTAAATTCAAATGCAAAATTATGTATGTTAAAATATTCGTAATTTGGCGCATAGGTCAGCTTAAGATTTTTAAAAAGGGTTAAGCATGCAAGGGTTATTTGGCTAAGGGAAGAGAAGCTAAGGATTTCGAAGTAAACCTAACTTTGAATGATAACAAAATAACACATTGTTAAATTGTTAAAAATAACGCATGTACGTTTCACCCAATTTATATTTATACATATTTTTCATATAAAGAATTCTGATACACACTAATCGATTGTAAATTACTTTACTCGAAAAATGTAAATGAAGTCACTGAATGTTTAGGTCACCAAGAGTGGTGTGTCACTGTTTCAAGGGAGTGTATGGAAAAAATCAGTTCGAGCGTCTCCTCTCTTTCCTTCCTTATGAGCAGCGCTTGGGGGAATGCCAGGTGTAGAACTAAACTTTCATGTGTGTATCCAAATATATATGCTTTCGACTTTTCTTGATCTTGATCATCGGAAAAAATTAATAAAAAACTCTACCGAACACGGTGATTAAATTGCCCACTAATGGGCGGTTGGGATCAGGTTGACTATCCCTAGTTTAGTTTACTCTGGGAGTTATATCAAGGATCTACAGCAGGGTTTCTTAAACTGTGGGTCGCAACAATCAAGGGGGTCGCGGGACCTGCAGCAGGGAGTCGCCAAAACTTTTAGCAGTTTTGATATTTCTTTAACTTATTATAATAATTTTACAATTGCCAAATATTTTTACACAATGTATCAGGAATAGATAACGATAAGACAATACAGACAAAGAAAAAACGAAAACGTTTCGACACATTCTTTTTATAATATAAA